TTCCTTCCTTCCTTCCTTCCTTCCTTCCTTCCTTCCTTCCTTCCTATTCTTTTCTTTTCTATTTTTTCTTAACATAAATTAACACATTTATTGCAGGCTAGGCAAGTCTCAAACTGTAACGCTTCTACTGGTCTTTCAGTCCCTTCAGTCTTCTGATGGAGACTTCACTGTGATGGCAGAATTGGTGTTGTAGGTCCAGGCCCCACCAGCCACTGTTTTCATGCAGGATCCACAGTGCCAGATGCCAACAGCTTGCCTCTTCATCTTGGTCTTGCCATAGACAGAGCAAGTAAGTGTACTTGGCGTGCTGGCTGCTTTTAGTCTTCTTCACTATCTTCCGGAGGGAGACACTATAGCTGGTCCCATATTTCCTGACAATCCCGACCTTCTTGGTGTGTTTAGCCGTGCAGAACCCAAGCCCAAGCTCCCAGCCTTTGGTTTCTTAAAACCACTGTACCATGCTGCCTCTCTGTGAATGAGTAGAGAGGAGGATTCCTAGATAGAATCACTGTGTAGATACACCATTTTCACTGCAGAATGTGTAACACTCCCAAGGACAGAGGTCACAAGATTATCCTCTCCTTTCTCTTCTTCTTCCCCCCTCCTTATCTTCCTCCTCCTTATCTTTCCCCCCTCCTCCTCTTATTGCCTACAATATTCTGATAGCAGCACAAGGGAGGAATGTGTGTCATTATATAAGAGTACTATGTGCATAAACCCAACAGATGGGGCAGTGGGTTCCCAGTCCATCAAGATTTGGAAATTCAGCAGAGCACTCGCCTAGCAAGTGAAAGGCCCTGGATCTGTCCTCAGCTCTGGAAAAAAAGAAAAAAACATCTCCTTCAGAATCTGCCTTAAGTTTTTATTGTATTCTATCTATCTATCTATCTATCTATCTATCTATCTATCTATCTATCTATCTATCTATCTATCTATCTATCTATCTATCTATTCACTTTTTAGCCTCACTGCAGCCCCCTTCCTTGTCTCCTCCCAGTCTCACCTACCCTCCCTCTTCTCCTTCTATGCCCTATACCCTGATAGGGGTATATTTTTTAGTTGGCATAAAAGTTATTGTTTCACTGAGGAATTTCATACATATATTTCAATGTGGTTTGTTCTTACTAATCTGTTTTCTTGTTTGAAGAGGGCGCCAGACTCGTTGTAGATGGTTATGAGCCACTATGTAGTTGCTGGGAATTGAACTCAGGACCTTTGGAAGAACAGCCAGAGCTCTTAAACTCTCCAGCCCCAATTTGTTTCCTTGCTCCTCTCCTTTCCTTCCCACAAACAGTCTCTCCTTTGGCTTTCATGTCATATGTAATACTGGACTTCAATTTTTAAAATATTTATTCATTCAGTGTGTGTTTATGTGTAAGTGTGAGTGTACCCATACTTTTGG